AATTGAGTTTACTTACAACATAGTTTTCATTCAAGTATTGGAATGACACCGTTTGAAGCCTTGTATGGTAGGAGGTGTAGGACACCATTGTGTTGGTATGAGTCAGAGAGAGTGTTGTGGTTGGATCTGAGATAGTCTAGCCGACTACTGATAAGGTTAAGATTATTCAGAAGAACATGAAGATTTCTCAGAGTCATCAGAAGAGTTATCATGACAAGAAGAGGAAAACACTTGAATTTTAGGAAGGAGATCATGTATTTCTTAGAGTTACTCCGATAACTGGTGTTGGTCGGGCATTGAAGTCGTGTAAGTTAACGTCGGGTTTTATCGGTCCATACTAGATTTTGCAGAGAATAGGAGAGGTGGCCTATCGGGTTTCTTTGCCACCGTCACTTGTTAATCTCCATGATGTGTTCCATGTATCTCAATTGAGGAAATACATTTCGGATCCGTCTCATGTAGTCCAAGTAGATGATGTGCAAGTGAGAGATAACCTGATTGTGAAGACATCACCTATGCCAATAGAGGATCAGGAGTTGAAGCAACTTCGAGGTAAATAGGTTGCTTTGGTGAAGGTAGCTTGAGGAGAACCAGTAGGCGGAAACGTGACTTGGGAACTTGAAAGTCAAATGAGAGAGTCTTATCCTGATCTGTTCGTTTGAGGTAATCTTCGAGGGTGAAAATCTTTTAAGTGGGGGAGGGTTGTAACACCCCAATTTTTAGTAATTATTTATATATATTATATTAATTAATTAATTGTGTGGTTTTGTGCGTAATTAATTTATTTGGATTATTTTATTTGGTGGAAATGATATATAAATAATATAGATAAGATAATTGGGCCTATTGGATGAGAATGTGAAGAGTAAATGTGGGGGTATGATTAGTAAGCTCATTAGTTACTAGATTTAGTTGTTATAAAGGTTTCATATATAAAGAGAAAAATAGAGTTAATAGTGGAAAAAGAAGAAAAGAAGTTAACATAGAGAAAAGGAAAAGGGGAAAAGAGGATAATAAAACATAAGGAGAAAACTCAATATTTCATCAAGAAACCAAGGTAAGAGGTGGGTCTTTACATGGTTATGAGATTGTATGATAATGTATGATCGGTAGTATCATATTTAGAATAAAAACCCATAATTTCCATGGTTTTAAAATTGATGATTACATGATGTATGATGGTAGGATCCTTAAATATGTGATGCGGGCTGTTATGATTGTCATATAATGGTAGTATTTCAAATTCTGGAACTGAAACTTTTTGCAGAATCGAAATCGGAGGTCCAGAAGGCCTCTGACACTGAAAATGGGTTTTTCTGGGCCCTGACACGGCCCGTGTCATCCGACACGGGTGACCATGTCATCCCCCTGTTTTGGAGTGCAAAAACGTGATTCTCTGACTTTGGAGTGCCACAGGCCGTGTCCTCTAACACGGGCGACCGTGTCAGCTCGTTGGATTTCATACTTGAAATTGTCTCAATCATATGTTTTTGATCTGTAAGTCCATTTTGGTCCCCGTTTGAAACGCCAGAAATCTAATAAATAGAGTTATAACATAGTATAGATAAGAGAATTTGTTGCCTAATATTTTTATATCTAATATGTTTGGAAAGTCAATTGTGTATATGTTCTATTAATGAATTGTTTAACTGTTTGCTACCAATTGTGAAATTATTTGTGGATAATTTATCGAATACTTGTGTGTGACAACGTGAAATGTATGATAGTTATTGCTTGTTGTAATGATAATATAGTTGTGATTGTATTGTAAAAGATGTTGTATACCATTTGAAAGTGAATTGTGTGTGGATGATTCATAAATATGTGCAAGTATGTGTAATTATGTGGTAACTCAATTATGATGAATTATTGAAGATATTCATGGATGTTAAGATTGAGGGATGATCTTAATTGCATATGGTTGTTGAACTTGCACATGCATCATTTTAGTCAAGAGACAATTCTTGTTAGTTCCATGGGAACTAGTGACTTGTCCCAAACCTAGAGAAGGGTTTGAAGCTTAGAGGACGGGCTTTTGTGTGTTATTGGTCTAGAGGATGAACCCGGTTTAATGTAAAAACCAAAAAGTAATAACAGTGATTGATACCACATGCATGAGTATTGCATTTGAGTATTGGATTGAGTCATATTGTGTCTATGACTACAATATGAAATTATGTGCATTATGTGAATTTGATGAATTAGTAAAATTGTGGATTTGTGAGTATGTATTTATGAATAATATGGTTGCTTAAGTGATGTTATGTTTATAAAGCATTTGAAGTGTGAAAATAATTATGTTATGCATGTATGCTATGTATTCTATATTATTATATAATTTCAATAATTATGTGAATTCTCACCCTTCTGTTGGAATGATGTTTTATACGACATCACTCAAGTACTAAAGAATAGAGTTGCTTCTAGTACGAGGGTAGCTGTTGGAGTTGCTTAATTTATTTTCCTTATTTATTTTGGTTCGAGTCATGCTTTGGTCGTGTAACACTGGAAACATTTTGATTCATGTTTTGAGAGATACTTTATGTACGCTATTTTATTTTGCTATCGTTATTTGAATTATGTGGAGTTTTGGCTTTCATGCCTAAGTGGTGATATGAACGAGTTATTTATGAGACTATTTATTATGTTTGTTATGAATGAAAGTGATTCCGCTGCTACATGCTATTTGAAAGTGTATGAAAAACATGAATTTAATTTAAGTGTTATCGAGCATGACAGGTGTATGTGTGATGTATGAATTATATGTGACACCCTTATTTGAGATGCATGTTATCTTACTCTGATTTATGACGTATTATTCCGTGGGGTTTAGAAGGGTGTTACACGTAACACCTTAGGTTCAGAAACAGGATTAAGAAAAGGAAGTAAATTTCTCACTGCTATTACTTACTCTGTTATCAGACTCTGAACTTGGTTCAGAATCTAATGGTTCATAAACAATTAGTGAAAAAAGTTTTTATATTTGGGCATACACAATTCAAACCCCCTTCTTGCGTATTTTTACTCACCTTCACACATCACTAACTTTTTCAAAGTTATCTGGATCCACACATTGAGGATTATAAAGAGAGCTTTATAATCTTTCTTCTTCAAATCTTTACGTGTATCCTTTTGTTCATTAGTAGCATTCTCTCCAATTGGTGTTACTTCATTCTTCACAAGATCCTAAAGGTCTTTATAGCAATAAACAGTCTTCATCTACTTATACCAATTTTCATAATTCTTATCATTCAAGATTGGAAAATTCGCTGAAAAATGCTCGTTCGTATAAGAATTCATTACGTTATGCTTCCCATAATCACAACTGGTACTTTAGATACCAGATGTTGGAATTAACCCCAATCTTGGAGATAATCTGAATCAATCACGATGAACAAGAATCAATCTTTTTTATTGATTGTTCCTCACTCTTCACTCGAGTGATTTAACCACACCTTAACTGTAAGATGATTCTATCGCACAATGATTTGGGAAGAAAAGAAATCTATGAAAGTGAATTAGAGAAGAAAAGAGAAATTATGATTTTAGGAGAATGAGGAAGAAGATGAATCAAATTCTGCAGAGTTCATTTCTGCGTTTATTCTAACTAATTTTTTCTTATTCTATACACTTACAATGATATGATATCTCCCTATTTATATACAAGATTACTTGCACACCAAGTAATCTCTAACCAACTAAATAATAAAACAAGATAAATGCTAAGTTTAACTATGTTGAGATTAACTTCTTCGACTACTTAACGAATACAATCGACTCCAATTATGTCAAGTTTTACAGCATGCTCTGTCGAATCTTACAACATGCTCTGTCAAGACTTACAATCAACTTCGAATATGTTAAGTTTTAACACAAAGAATTACATATTTAACACAGTGGTCCTGACCGTTCTCAGTTAGGGGTTTTGTGTGTTTTTCGACGGCTTTGTGCGTACGACGATTTCAAGAACAATGAAGGATGATGTGATGTTGAATGATGATCGAGGCAGAAGGAGGGATTTGAGTTTTTTTTAAAAGAGAGAGAGGGAGAGAGGAGAAGGAGGAGAAAGATGAAGAAAATGATAGAGAAAACAAATGTTTAAAGGAGAATTTAAAATCAGAAAATAATGATTGTGCTTGGTGTGTCATTCTAGCTTAACTATATTTTTCCATCTCTAAGTGCATTGAACAGTAAAATAATGAGTGATAAAAAATTACAATTTAAATATGAATATTAATTACCATAAGAACATTTAATCTAAAATAACCATGTTAATTTACCAATTTAAACTTACTTTAAAAAAAATGTTTAAGGAACTTTTTTAGCGTATGATTTTTCTAGATAAATAGTAAATTTAAAGCCGCGTTTGTGCAAAAAAAAAAAAAAGAAAATTAATACAAATTTAAAATTACTTAATTAGCCTATGCACTACTACTAGTTTTTATCTAAAGAAAAGTTTATTTTCAAAAAAGAAATCAATACGGTTTAATTATTTACGAGAAAAACAGTTGTTATGACGTATAAATAAATTGTGCGGAGTCCCCGTGAAATGTATGTCTTTAATTCAACGTTCAACTCAATGACTCATACTTTTTACTAGTAGAAACACTAAAATAACTAAAGGATGAAAATTCAGAAAAATATTCTCCAATTCTCAAAATTCAGAAACTAAAATAATTGATGTTTATGATTTATTCGCCAATTTGACCATTTATTATTATTATTATTATTTTTTAATTTAGGGAGGAAGACTCAAAAAAAAAAAAAAACTGGCTTAACTTTCTTTCTGCATTGGATCTTGTTTGCTTCTATGCATCACCAAACTTTCGCTGAAACAACAAACACAACTTCAACAACAAAAACAAAATCCCAATAATCATCGATCTTCTTCGTTCCCTCACTCACCACTCGTGCACTCGTTCAATTTTCGTGCGCGAGTGATGACGCTGATGATACAGTAGAGGAGAATTGGTTTGTGATTGATCGATCTAACGATAACAATGGGAGGTGCAGGGAGTGGTGAGATATGGAAAGCACACACCGCCATGGCGATTGTGCAGTTATTCACCGGAGGTTATCATGTTATCACTAAATTGGCTCTTAATGTTGGAGTCAACCAAATCGTTTTTTGTGTTTTTCGTGATCTCCTTGCTCTCTCTATTCTCGCCCCCATCGCTTATTTCCGTGAAAGGTTTCGATTATGCTTTTTTTTTTTCTTTTCAGTTATTAGAATTTAAATGTTGATGATTCAGTATAATCTGCATATTTGAAACTTTTATTTTTGTAATCACTTTTTTTTAGGGTATGCTTACTTTAATTGTCAAATTGTTACTTGATATCTAGATTTTTTTTTTTTTTGAGATGATACTCATCGTGTTGATGAAACTTGTGTTAAGTTTCTTAGGTCATTAGATGTCTTAGTGTGTGTTTGGTTCTGAGGTGACTAGAATTGATTATGAGTGAGTTGATTTTATAGAATTGATTTGGGTTAAAAATGAGTTGGATGTAAAATGATATATGTTTGGATAATTTATGTTAAAGTGATTTGAAGTTTTGAACAACAAATTTATGTATAATAATCATATTTAAACTCAAAAGTTACGAAGTCTAGTTTCAAGTAGAATCAATTCAGGAGGCAAAATCAATTCTACTTTAGAACCAAACAACTCAAAATCATTGCAAAATCAATTTTACACCTCTAGAATTGCTTTGGCTATTTCAAAAGCTACATCAAACGTACACTTATATTGTTTTTAGTGGAAAATAGTGGTTTGTTCATATTTCTCTATGCTATAGCCGATTTTTAACCTGTGTACCAAGTTGTTGAACAATAGCGGTTTGTTCAAATTCTGCTATGCTATAGGAGCTATTTGACAATTTTGATTAGTTATCATCTTGAGTATGATCCAGAGTGATGCTAGAACTGCTCTTCTTATTGCTATAGTCATAGCTTTCAACTATGAAGGGTACTTCTGATTTTGTTTAAAGGCAGCATAGGGCTCATTTAACTCTTCTACTGCTACGGCTACGTTTCAGAAGTGATATTTTAACTTGCTACTTTTTTATTTACTATTCTTGCTGTATGCACTTTATTGTAAGGCATGAGTATAATAATGATGCCATGTTGTCTGTAGACGTACACGGCCACCCCTAACAAAGCGCTTCGTGACATCATTCTTCTTTCTTGGATTAACTGGGTAAGGCTCTTGATATAGTCGCATATATCCTAGTTTATTTTGTTGAGATTATATGCAAATTTGTTGATGCATTGGTATTTGGCTTCATTATTCGTGTTCAGGATATTTGGAAATCATCTTTTGTTTCTTATTGGTTTAAGCTATACTAATCCAACTTATGCTGCTGCAATTCAGCCAGCTACTCCAGTCTTTACATTTGTGTTGGCTATAATGATGGGGTTAGTTTCTCTCCTTTCAATTTCTATGTGTGTTCATTTTGTGAATGCTTTTTTTTTGTGTGTGTGAAACAACCCGCGCTAATGTTGCACGAAAATATGCATATTATTTATATTCAGATATACCAGGATATATTATATAATGTACCTTAATAAACTTATTCATGCAGTACAGAAAGAGTAAACTTGCTAAGATATGAAGGTCTGGCCAAGGTTGGAGGAATTTTTGTCTGTGTTTTGGGGGCCTTAGTGATGGTTTTATACCGTGGTCCAGCACTGGTTGGATCTTCAGAATTGGACCTCATATCACACAGTGAAATAAGTGCCAGAGGTCAACCAGAGCCTTCTGGATGGTTAGTTAGTGGTTTAATGGATCTTGGATTTGACCATTTTCATCTTGGAGTGTTGTGCTTCATAGGGAACTGCATGTGCATGGCTACTTTTCTATCCATTCAGGTACATATCTTTTTAATGAACTTTAAATGATTGTTGACTACAGTTGCATTAAGTTAAGGAAACAAATTGTGATCACTGTCACTTATCTCCGTTATTCACCTGTTAAGCGGTTAATCCCCAATTCCCATGGATTATACATGGGAATTGACTTTAAGAGTCATAGTTGCATGGGCTGAACCAGATGGTTCAGCTGGAAAACCTGCAAACTTGCCTCCAAGGCAGTCTGTTTAGAGCTTTGATCCAATCTTCACATCAACCTAATCACACTTGCTCGACTTAGTTGAAGCCACTTGACCCATTTTCCTCTTCTTAACCTGCTTTCAGCAACACTGCGTTGGTGGCAGGTACTTGCAGCAAGGATAGATTTCTACTATTGTGAGCTTTGAAAGGGTCATAAAAATTGAGCTTTGAAGGAATAGAGAAAACATGGTGAATGACTCACCAAGTGGTTTGAATTAGAAGAATGAATGAAACTAAGTAATAGAGCAATGGGTAAAATCAAACAAATTAACCGAGAAACTGGAACGAAATATTAACCGGTAGAGTGTTCAGTTAGAAAATGGTTTGGTATATAGTCGTGTACATACTGTTGTTGAGGGCTTCTTTGATGCTTATTGGTCTAATCCTTTGATTATTTGATGCCCACTTATGGTTACTGTTCTTGATGGAGGTAACCCTGTTTGATGGAAAATTAAGTTTTGAAGTGCTGTTGCTCAATCTAGTGCCAAATCAGAATATTGGCAATGGCACAAACTGTGTGAATTGGTGTGGATAAATTATCTTGATGAGGTTGACTTTAAGAGTGCAATGCTTAAAAAGTTATGGTGTAATAATTAAACTTCCGTTTATATTACTTTTTACACTGTCTTTCATGAAAGACTGAAGCATATTGAGGTTTTTATCATTTCATTCTTGAAAAGTTTCCATGGGGGCTTCTTACTACTTGACATGTTCGGACAGGAGAAAAACTACATGCAGATACCACCAAAAAAACTCAATAATAATATAATAGAATATATTTCTAACAGGCTGAGCGTGATTAGCATGCTCCAGCTCGAGGGGATTTTCAGAAATAGCTATTAGTTAAGTGTCATTGGGTTTAGGCATATCGTCCTGTAGTGTGCTTTATTTCTTAGTATAAACAGAGACAGTGGAAACAGGTCATTTTTTCCCTTAATTTTCTCTAGTGACAAATCCCTTTATCTCTATCCAAATAAAGCGACATTTGACAATACATTGGTGTCTTGTTGGACGACCTCCGAAATTTGCCATTCTTGTTTTCAGATTCAATGGTTTATTAGCATAATCACCTTTGTCGTTTAAAATTTCTTCATTTATCATATTAGTTGTGCTTGCTACTTAGTTTTTTTTTTGTTTTTTTGAAAATTTATGGTGATATTGGGTTAATTTATATGTGAAATGTTTATGTTTAATTTATTATCATGAATTATTTTCAGGCTCCATTATTAAAAAAGTATCCTGCAAACCTATCTGTCACAGCATATTCGTACTTCTTTGGAGCTTTACTGATGGTAACTACATCATACTTCGTAACCGATGAGTCAACTGACTGGAGTTTGAATCAGTCTGAAACATTTGCCGTTTTATATGCTGTGAGTAACTAGAATTTCAAATCAATCTTCAACATCATGAGTCATTATTAGTTATATTGCTAATCATTTGGTCCATTTTCTCTAATTCATTGTTAGTTGTTTGTATTTGATTCATCAAATTTATTTTTCTTTGTATTTCTAATGGAAGCCGTTCTAAATAAGGATTTCTCTGATATGTTCTGGTGGTGTGGTTTCGTTCTGTCTGGCCATGTCTGGCCATGAAAGAGTGAGAAGTATACTTAAATTGGCAGATGTGAAATAGGTCATGAATGTCATGGAATTTGTATGTTAGGCTTTTTTTTTGTTAGCATGAAAAGAATTTGACCCAAGTTCTCTGCAGTTGCGAAATATTGTAGTCACTGCAGTCGGCTGTCGGAAGGAGATTGGACAACTCATTTAAAATTCATCAAATCAGATTAAAAATACAACTTGAAGTCTGAGCTGTCCGATCCTGATCCTACAGCTGAGATCGCAACTACTGAATATGCTAACTGCAAGAAATCCTTTTATAAAAGAATGAAAGTGTCTTCTGTTCTTATATTTTAGAACTGAATGGTCTTGATATCAACTTTTTATAAACTACTTTAAATGATTTTTTCCATGTAGTTTTTTAAAATTGTTTTTCTTATTTGTTCAGGGAATTATTGCATCTGCACTTAATTATGGAATCATTACATGGAGCAACAAAATCTTGGGCCCGGCCATGGTTGCCCTTTACAATCCACTTCAACCTGGGGCAGCTGCTCTCTTATCTAGAATTTTTATTGGAAGTCCAATTTACATGGGAAGGTACATCTCCTATAACTTTCCATTGATTGATGCACTGCTGTCTAAGAGTATACTGAAAGAATCTGGCAAACAACTGAATATTTAAACGACAACCTCTCCTATAAGATCTGACACTAACACGACACTGACACATACATCAATCACTTTCAGTTTCTTAAATTCTTATTGTTGTCTACGTGTCAGTGTGTCAATGTTGTATCAATTGTCTATGTCTATGTTGTGATTCATAGGTTTTAAAGTCTTGTTTTTCTGATTTGTTTTCTCCATGATGACAACAGCGTGTTAGGTGGGTCACTAATCATTACTGGTCTGTATGCGGTTACTTGGGCATCATATAGAGAAAGACAGGCAGCTGCTGGAGTTATTCCTCATCATGCTTCTAATTGGGTCTCTGAATCACTTAAGACTCCTTTTCATAGAGTTAACATTTTCTCAGGCTCCTCTAGTTTATTATCCCCAAAGCCTTCGGATTGACGAAATTAATTGTATGTAAAAAGTTGTCATGATTCTTTTTTTCCCCTCTCTTTATACTTCCTATATAAATGTAGCTGGTTAGAAGAACTAAAATTAAGAGAAGTCACACTTTAATTTTGTAGGACATATTTACAAATTCAACTAGGTTATCTGTTACCTGTAAAAAATACTTCAAAAGAATTTTGTTTTGAAACTATGCTAAAGTCACTGTTAGATGTTAAATCATTAAAAGAAATGGTGTGCCAGTGGCTTATATTTTTATCTGTTTTGGATAATACACAAATTATATAAAAGTTGGGGTGGCAAAATGGGTTAGGCCCATCGGGTCCGCCCATTTAATCCATCATTTTTGGCGGGTTGGGGCGTGGTTATTGATTCAGTGTCTTAAGTTGACCTGTTCTGCCTAACTCACTTTTAAAGGCGTGGTTATCGATTCAGTGTCTTAAGTTGACCCGTTCTACCTAACTCACTTTTGAAAAACGGACTGATGGCAAGACGGGGCGAATTTTGTCCATGGGTTTTTTTTGTTAAAAACTATTTTTTTTTTTTTGGAATTAAAACAATATTAATGTGGAAACATACTTTTAAAATAACCCTGATTTCTTCACACCCTAATGTTCATTTTTCACATAATCCACAAACATCTTATTTTAAAGATATTAATTGGTCTTTGCTTTATTTATTTTCACTCATAATAGAAAAAATCTTTATTGTAAAACATAGAGAATACATTCTTTTCTATTTTCTATTACTCGTTGTCATTGAAGTTGAGTTTTAAACCTAAAAGGTAAATTTTGCACATAGGGGGGTTGTTTCTCGTTATAATAATAAAGTTTTAATTTGTATTTTATACTATTTGAGTTCTCAGTTTATTTATTTTTTGACACTAAACTTTTCTATTTGAGTTCTCAGTTTATTTATTTTTTGACACTAAAATGATTAATTAAATGCTTATTATTTGTATTGATAATTTTTAAATAATGAAGCTTTGATTTTTCTTAAATTCTTTTATTTTTGAGATGCTTTCATTATTAAATATTGATAAATCTACTTAGAGCATCTTTAGTGCAGGTTCTGTAGTATTAAATTCTTTAATAGTAACTGTAGTTATAGACAATTTGCATTGGAATAAAAATGACATGACACTAAGTGAATTAACAATTAATTTTCGGCAACTATATAACCAACGCACACTATCAAATTTCAATGACTCTAATTATTATTTTATATTATTAAAATATAAAATATGAGGTCAAGTTTTGGTTTTTTACAAGCAACCATTATTAAAGTAAAAACAACTCAAATAAACTATAAATATTTTAAATCCTACAAATCACTTTGGACCCACAAAAAGTATTTTAGTTTACCCATTTAGTGTACTCCCACTAAAGATGCTCTTAGTTGTCTTTCTTTGGCTTGTGCTAGTTTGTTTTTTTATTTGTGTCTCTAGATGTCTTTAATTAGGTTGTGCTTATTGATTTTTTGAACCAAAAAGATTATTTTCGGATTTTAGTGTGTTTGTTTTAAATTTTTGGTATTATAGTTACGTTTTTCTATTTATGTTGAAGAATACGACATTTACATTAAGATTTGTTAAAGTTTTACTATGTGTTGTTAAAATTTGTCTGTCTTTTTGATAATCGTTAACAATTTTGTAAATTATGTAGTAAATCAAATTATTAAAAAAAATATTAGCGGGCCGCCAACTTGTTAGTAAACGCGACAGACTCGACTTTTGAGCTCGAACGCCTAAGTTGGCCCGCCCCGCTCCGCCCCACTTTTGGACAGGCTTAAATGGGGCGGACATGAATGGAGTGGGTCGCCCGCTTTGCCACCCCTATATAAAAGTGCATATTTGGACGTGCAAAGTTGGTGAGTTTTCTTATGCATATTTTCAAACTGATGTTTGGATGTGTTATACCCCAAATTTGTCCTAATTGCTTATTAACAAGTATTTTTTGTTAATTAACGGTTTTTTTTAGATGGTCATTTTGCCTATGGTCTAGATCTTCTAAAAGGGGTTTTGGGACACATTTCGGGATGAGTCCGAGTTGTGTATTAACATGATGCTAAGTTTATTTGATCACATTTAAATTTGTTTAAAGTTTGAAATGATTCAAATATTGATGAACGACTTCAAGACATCTACAAGTAAATCTTCGAAGAGGTTCATGCCATAATCACCATAAAAAGCCAAGCTTATGTTCAAAAATAACTTCGTCCTTAACGACACTTGTGTCTAAAAGCAAGTTCAATTAGGCTCGTTTAGAGGTTTAACTGTGGATGGTTAATTTTCAAAACAACATTCAATTCGTGTTTAAGCTATGAGATCCAAAGCAAGTCAGAATGGTATGATGTCCAAATCATATTTTGATACAACAATCATAATAGGTGCTTTTGGCAAGATGGGTTTTAAATTATGGTTGGGAGGTGTCTCTTTTAAGTTCTGGTTTTGACGAATCATATTACGGTTTTTCAAAGCTTGATGAGGTTTCCCAAATGATATGAAATGGTCAAGTCGTATTTCAAAATGAGAGATGAAGTTCTCAATATTTTAGCCAGGAATGTCGCACCCAATTGGCAGCTTTGTTACATAGTTGTGCTTATAAGATAAACATCAATTTGGTAAGCATAATATACATGAAAGGTCACATGCTACAATTCACAAGATATATTCTTTAAATTTAAATCAAAGCAGCTTGCACCAGTTGGTTCACAGCTTGAATTACAGTAAGCCTCACGCATTTTCCTGCATAATCAAACTCACTAAGCTAAAATCCAAGACTAGTAAGTCATGTTGCTTCAAACCGCGCCCAATATGCACTGTGTAATACCGAAACAACATGCCTTCATAACCAGTCCAGGAAAAAGCACATTCTTGCGCACGAACTTGTGACGTTTCAGCCTCCAGATAGCTAACGTGTGCGCGTCGGTTTTCCTTCCATATTGTGCTCATAATCAAAGCCTGAAAATAGGGAGCAAAAAGGGGATGTGCAACATCAAAGTTCATGAGCGGTACATCATGTGGCCTTCACACAACAATAATCCTTCCATTGGTCGTACCTCAATGAGACGTCCGGTATACGACTGTAACCATCACCGAAATTTCGCAAACCCCAGCTGGTACATTACGCAGCAACGCACTACAGCCAAGCCTTCATTTACCAAGTTGTTAGCTAACCCAACTTCACACTGTAAAAAGCTGCGACATGACCATCATGTACGTTCAATTCACGTTACCTGCAACAACACACCAATTGCCAAAACCACAGTCACAATGAAAACCGTACACATGAATTCATAGATATGGCAAAGCGTAATTCACGAGCTATAAAAAACGTACATGCCGTCGGTAAAATGCGAACCATGCCAAAGAAAACCACAGTCCGCACTCTCTTCAACAACACAAAAGCCCAATGCAAAGGAGACTATTTCCGGTTTAGTGGCAGCAGAACTTAGAATGTGAGCTAACACACACAAATTAGAGGACCGCGCCTTGTTTCCTGGCGTAATGAACATCTATTCCACAAATTGTACAACGACCATTTCAGCAGCCTTAACGGTTATCAGTCTTCACAAAACCGTTTTGTTTTCTTTCTCATACATCATGGTATGACCTGCAAAACAACCAGCACACACCCGAAAATTATGATAAATGACACTACACAGGTTCATAAATAAAAGGGAAAAATACATGATGTGGGCCGCGAAGCATCTGTAGGAATAGGAGCCAGAATTCACGTTTTCACAATTACACAAGTTGGCAAATCATCTCGTGGCATCGTACCCCTTTTCCTATGACACACACGGCAAAACACAATAACCTGTTTTTGAGCCAGGGATTTGTACGACAAAATTGATTTCCAACTCACCATTCAGAAATCATTTCCGTTTCTACCCTCAATACTTTCTATAATCTCCCCATATAAAACCGTGTGAGAGGCTGCAGCGAGGGGGGAGACCTAGCCGTCATCTTCTTCAAAAAAACCTCTCGCTCCAATCTGTCTCTAACCTTCAACAAACCCAAACTTCAACTTCAAATAAAACAACCCCAACCATTAAACCCTCTTCTTCAAATAACATTAAAGTTCTCTTCATTTCTTTGGAACACCATAACCCACTTTTCTCCTTCTGTGTCGAACCAACCACAACTCTTCTTCTTCCCTTAAATACCTCAAAACCCACCAATAATCAACCCATATCAGAAGCTTCAAACAAACAATCATCATACCCGTTGAATCTTCCTCAACCCAAATATCTGACCTATTTCAAACCAGACCCAAAATAGTGAAAAGAAGAAGAAGATGGGTGAATCGAAGAAAATAGACAAAACCTGAGTGAATCTCAAATCTGAATCGTGAAAACGGGATACACGAGCAAACATTCCTGAATGAAGACTAAGGATGAAGTGAGGTTGGTAGAGCTGATCTTGAATCGCCGATAAGGATTTAAAGGAAAGACAAGGAGAGTTCGTCATGGCGAAGGTTGATATGTTGAGGCTTCGGTTTCGCGTCTACGCCATGTGTGATTTGAACTTATCTTGTTTTGAGTTTTGGCAATGGTTGCTGCATTTGATGCTGGCTTCCATTCTTTATTTTTGTTTTTTTATTTTGTTTAGAGATTGGTCTGGTGGGTTTGGGTTTAGCCATTGGTTAAATTGGTTTCCTGTACCTGTTTTTTATTTATCCGTCGGGTCTTCATGGATGAATGGCCCATAATGATTCCATCTTTTTATTATTCACATACCCATTTTGTTTCAAACCAACTCTCCTTCTTGTTTTTTTTAATTTAATTTTGTCAAAGTTTTCTTTTCATTTAGTTTTTTTTAAGTCTTGAGAGTTTTTTAATTTAGATCTATTATTCACGTTTCGGTTCGATGACGCGACCTCAAAATTGTTTTTCTATCAAATTATTGATGAAAAATGATAAAACCGATACCAACTTCTTTTTAACTTTTCATTTTCAATTTTTATCCATTTTTACTCATTTTATTCATTTTA